GAGGTTGGGCCGTGCGCTGCTCCTGAGGGCGCGGGGGCCTGAGGTTGGGCCGTGCGCTGCTCCTGAGGGCACGGGGCCCTAGATTGGCTGTGCTTGCTCAGAGCCTTCAGGCTTGGCTGGGAGGGCTGTAGGGTCAGGCCGTATTGAGTCAGGAGAGGCCCTCAGAGAGGAGAGGGTTGCAGTCCTTGATGGCTGATGGGGCAGCACAGCTGTGTCCCAGTGCCGGGGGCTGCAGCCCTGGGAGGGGTGGGCACTTCTCTGTGGCACTGAGGCAGTACTAGGGCCAGACTTGGTCTGGGGCAGGAGCGGAGGGGGCAGGGCTGCCTGGGGCAGGAAGGATGTTGTGAAAGTGTGAGGTAGACGGAGCCACTCTGCAGGTGTAGACAATGACCGTCACTTCCTTGTCCGGGCTGAGAAGGGCGCCAGGGTGGGTTGTGGCTTCACCTCCTTAAGCTCTTCCCAGCCCTGAGTCCCCTCCTCCTGCTGCCTGTTTGGTTCCAGGGAGAAGAGGGAGGGTTTCTCTAGGTGAGCTGTGTTGTAGGCTCCGAGCATGCCCGAGTCTGCCCACTGTGCTCGCCATGGGGCATGCCCGAGTCTGCTCACTCACTGTGCGCTCTCCATGGACACGCTCGAGTCTGCTCACCCACTGTGTGCTCTTCATGGGGCACAGCCGAGTCTGCTCACCCACTGTGCGCTCTCCATGGGGCACGCCCGAGTCTGCTCACCCACTGTGCGCTCTTCATGGGGCACAGCCGAGTGCTCACCCGCTGTGCGCTCTCCATGGGGCACACCTGAGTGCTCACCCACTGTGCGCTCTCCATGGGGCACACCTGAGTCTGCTCACCCACTGTGTGCTCTCCATGGGGCACACCTGAGTCTGCTCACCTACTGTGTGCTGTCCATGGGGCATGCCCGAGTCGGCCTGCAGTGTGCTTTCCACAGGGCACCCCCGAGTCTTCTCACTGTGCTGTCTCCATGGGCATGTTGAGGACAAGGCCTCCCCACCCTGCCCCTTGAAGGAAAGGTGGCTTTGTTCTCAGACCTTCTGGAATGCTACCAGGGCAGGAGTCCTGCCCATGCTGGTGTGACGCTCCGGCTGCGCAGAGGGGTCCCTGGCCCAGTGCAGAGTGTGGTCCTGCTCATGTGACCGGGACACAAGCCATCTCTTTGTGGTCTCTAGAAGGAGTGGGCTGTGTTGGCCACTCACAATGGAGCTTTGCCCATACCCAGCCAGGGAGGTCATGTGTCTGGGGAGAGGGAGCTGAGAGCCAGGTCCTTCCTGGCTTACCCTGGATGCTGTGTGCCCGGGGCTGGTCGGCAGCTCTTGGGCCTCAGTTCTTCATTTGCAGAGGACAGGTTCAGCTTCCTCTCGGCGCAGGCCAGCTTTTGCTGGTTCTGGACCTGCTAGCTTTGAAGTTCAGTCTCTTGTTGAAACAAGGTCCGTGCACGATCTGAGAAGAGTGTGGGTAACCGTTGAAGGTTTACACTTGTTGTGATGGTGCTTTTGGCAAAAGGTGGTCTTCAGGATAGGGAAGAGTAGCCCCCTCTTCACAGTCGTGTTGTAGCCCTGGGCACCCCGCATCCCACGTGGCTGGGAAGTGTGGGTGTGCTTGATGGGGCTTCCCAAAGAGCAGGTACGATGGAGGAGTGGGATGGGGCCGAGCGTCCTCACACAGCCCTTGCCCACTGATGTCCTGACTGTCACCCCAGGGGCCCTGAGGCACCCCAGGGGCCTGGGTGGTGTGCGGTGACTTCCAGCAGGTGGACCGGGAGGGGCAGTGGTAGTACTGCTGAGGATTCTAGGAATTCAGCTAAATATATTCCCAAAGCCTACCTGTGTCACGCATACTCAGTGCCTGCTGTCAGCTACATTATTTATGTATTTATTTATTTATACTCTGCCTTGTTTTGCAGAAGGATCTAAGGCAGTGAGGTTTGTTTTGTGTATTCTGCATTGACATTTGATAAGCTCAGTGGAAATGCATTTGTTAAAGTAGGTAATTTTAAAAAGGACGCAGTGAATATATTTCTATTATCAGGTGTAAATGCCATCAATTTTAAGTTGTTTTTTTCTTGCATGAACTGATTATTCAAATGAAAGATTCCTGAGGAATTAGGAAGAGGAACAGAGAGCAGAGGACGGCCCAAAGGGGGCGTAAGCCTCGGGGATGCCCCGTGCTCTGGGCCTTGCTGCTTCTACCTGCGTGGCCTCGGCCACGTCGCTGTCAACCCTGGAGGCTGCACTTTGATGCAGGGGGCGGGGCGCCCGCTCTGCCTCTCTCCAGGGTGTTAAGGCGAGCACACGAGAGAACATATGAGAAAGCACTTGGTGCTCTCGCAGTCCTGTGCAAACGTAAACGCTGTTCTTGCTCTTATCCCTGTCCTTGGGGTGTGCACCTGAGGCCATGATAGGCCAATAGGGCAGAGTGGCACAGGGCACAGGCATCGAGGGCGCTTTGCAGAGAAGAGTGAATTATTCATGAAGTCACATGTATTCAGCTTAAAGGATTGTTTTTTATTCTGAGATAATATCTTTCCTGCTTTGGGTGATGAAATGTCCTTTATGTAATGAAGGTGATAGTGGAGGGACTACATATATATATATTTGTATATATATTTATATACATACATACATATATATATATACACACACATATTTGAAATGCCCTTGTTTGGGAAAACAAAATGCTGGCTGCCCTTTGTCAATCCCTAAAAGTTCTGTTTGTTTGCCAGGCTCTGAAATTTCAAAGTTGGGGAGCCCTGAGTCTAGCTATAGCGTATGTTTGCTTATTGGTGAGAAATTCTTCTTGGATCATTGTTGGAGGCATCACAGCGTGCCCACTGCCTTGCAGTCCGAGGATGGGTTCCAGGGTCGCCGCGCACAGTCGCAGGGCACGCATCCCTGAGGCCTGGCAGTGATGAGCGAGCGCCCCTGCAGTGCCGGACTTCTGGCTGCGCCTGCATCCAGGAGAGACATGGAGTTTGTGTGGCCTTCTCCAAGAGAACCGTCCCTTACCTTGGGCCTGGGAGCCTGTGGCACCTCCGGGAGGGTGGCACCGGCACCAGGGGTCAGTGCCGGCGCTGAGGCTGCGGGTCCCTGCTCTGCCACCTCACCATGCAGTGACCGGGCCCTGGCTTCTGGGCGTCTCGATCTTGCGCCTGGAAGTCTGCATTTGGTCACATGACACTTCTCTCTCTCCCTAGCTCACTTTCCTTCTCCTCCCCACCTCTGTACCTGAGTCCCTTGGTGTGGAATAAAATAATTGTTATGGAAGCATCCATGGTTTGTGAGATTCATGTCACAGGGTGGCACGCAGATTCTGAAAGTGCACAGTGATGTGCGAGATACCCTATAAATTCTAGGCAGAGAGATGATGGGGAAGCTAGTGGTGTCGAAGAGGGAGTGACTTCCTGTTGCCTTAACACATAATTGCTCAGTGTCTAGGGTGCATGGGGATCCTTTCTTTTCTAAGGTGTTTTGATTTCAGGTCTCTCAGATATGCCAAGTACTGTACGAATGTGCGGAAGTCCAGGTCGAGTGTGGTGTTTACCAGCACAGTGCTTGTGTGTGTGTCAGGTCACAGTACGTTGCTGTAACTTACCCAGCAGTGGCTCTGCTCTGCCTGTGGTGTCGGCACAGCTCGCAGTGCTGCTGCTGGGTGTTGGGCACATGAGGTGTGATGTGTGGTGGGGCCTGTGTGCCTGGGATTCGTTGAAGACAGCGCTCGCCACCAGCCGTCAGTTCCTCTCTGCTTTGGTACTGAACGTGTGTTTGCTGCCTCGGCTGAGACCTTGACTGTTTTTGCCTTTGTGCCTGGTTCAGAGCCTTCAGAAGTATGATGGGCACCTCTGATGTGCCATTGTAACTTTAATAAATGCTTTATTCACCTTTACGTCCCCAAACATGCCTTATTTTTGTGGGCTGTTTATCTTAATGGGTAGAAGTGTTCTTGAGAAAGCTTGGTATGTGCACTTTGAGTAGAAGTGACCTGCTGTCTGGAAGGTTTCAGATGATTGGAGAGAAGAACCCATTTAAAACAGGAGTTATAAGCTCTTTTGAGGGGCCCTGGGGCCTGTGGAGGTGCCCAAAATGCTCCACAGGTGTACACTGTCTGACTGGCCTGTTTCACTTAGTCGTGTTTCTGGTTTGAAGAGAGTTGTGCCTCTGAAGTGTTTGAAACCTATGGCTTTCAAGCAGAGTGACATTGTCCCTGCATTGTTCTGTGGGGTGAGGAGGTGAAGAATATGGACAAGACAGTTATTTCCAGCCCCCTGTTGTTATATGTGACTTATTTTGTTAAGATTTGGGATGAACCCAGGAATGAATGAACTAAATAAAGACATTTATTTATCTCCAAGTGAGTCTTAACATGCCTATCTGCTGTTTCAGATATTTTCCTCATTCCTGAACATCCTGAAACCCCTACACCTCTCCTCCTGGCAGTCCTAGGTAACTCTGTAAGTGGTTGTGGAAAAGAGTTAAAATCAGGAGAATTGGTTAAAGCCTGCTTAAGAGGCAGTCAGACTTCCTACTCCACACTGTTGGGCAGTTTGCCTCCTCCAGCCCAGTGGAGACTGAAAGGAAGGTGCTGTGTTCAGCCTTCAGTAGGTAAAACCCCCTGCTCTTTCCCCCCTACTTGGCTTTGGGACTGTAAGCAATCAGGCTCATGTCCTCCAGGCAGGAAACAAAACAGACTTCTCACCAACCTAGAAGGAAACACCTAAAGATACCGATAGTGAACATGGCCAAAGAAATGATCATACTAGATCATTTTGCAGTGGATTCCAACATATACTGTAGTTTTATACAAATAATGCACACATTATTTTTTTTGCCAACTGTGCAACACGTTCGC